AATTCACGGCTGGCCGATGGAGGAGGCCTTGGCTCTTGAACTACATGGTGAGTGCACGTATTGCTGGCTTTTGGGTTCTGTCTCTGTCTGACTTTGTTACTATTCCAATGGATTCTGACGTCAATTTTTTCTGCAGGTGAATTTCTAATCAGGCGCGGCGCCAAAAGAGCAGCGCGTTCTGTGATGCAGGACGCGATAGCCGCGTGGGCCGCGATTAGTGCTGTTGGGAAAGCATCGCAACTCACAGAGAAACACGAGTGGCTTTTGAAAACCGCAACATCCTCCAGATGTGCTGACGTCGGTGTTCAGACCGTTGACTCGCTTCTTGGTATCGAGCGGAACACAGCCCAAGAAGACATGACCATCTCTCAAGACGTGGAGAGGGACGATAGGAAACATCGTTGGATTGAGCAGAATGGAGTCACTGCGGGGGAGCGTTCGCTCGATATCTCTAGTGTTGGGCTGGGTAAGACCACTAGGATACTTCAGCCAGAAGCTTTTATGTTACTAATGTCTGGCTAGATATCATCGACTTGTCTAGCATCCTCGAGTCGAGCCAAGTGATGTCCTCTGAACTTCAGATTGATAAGCTCCTAACCAAGATGATTGAGATCGTGTTGGAATCTTGCAACGGATCCGATTTTGCCGTGATTGCAACGGATTTTGACGATAACGGCTTCGCAGTCGCCGCAACTGGTGACCTGGAGAAGGGACAGAGGTCCTTCGTCGATGGTCTTCCCCTGTCAGAGTTCGACGATAAAATGGCACAGCAGATCTGTCACTATGTGATTCGCACGAAAGAAGAGGTTCTTGTTCACAATTTCCTCGAGGACGATCGATTTTCCAACGCCAGCGAGGCCTATCAGAACAAATATCCCATGGGAAGGTCTGTCATTGCACTGCCTATTATGCAGGCAGACCACCTCCTGGGCGTCATTCATATTGAAGGCAAGCCGAACTCTTTCACTCAACGCAATGTTGTAGTGCTTCATCTGCTCTGCAACCAGATTGGCATCTCTTTGGCCAATGCGCTGCTCTTCCGTGAAGTCCGCAGGGTTAGCGCCACCAACGCTGCTATGATTGAAGCACAGAAGCGTGCCCTCGCGCAGGCTCGTGAGGCGGAGCATAAAGCCAAGGTGGCAGAAGCAGAAGCCAAGCACAACGTGAAACTGAAGGAGGATGCCGCCAGAGCCAAGTCCATCTTCCTAGCCAACATCTCCCATGATCTCCGGACGCCAATGAACGGTGTTATTGGTTTGTCGGAACTCCTCAAGGGAACAAACTTGAACAAGGAACAGGATGAATACGTCGAGTCTATACGAGTCTGTGCTGATACACTCCTTACACTCATCAACGACATTTTAGACTTCTCGAAGTTGGAGGCAGGAAAAATGAAGATATCGACCGTTCCTCTCAACGTCAAAGAGACCATTTCCGAAGTCGTGCGCGCTTTGCGCTACACGCACCGGGACCGCGGCCTCGTGACTATCGAAGACCTGGACAAAGTTCCACCAGATCTCGTGGTTCTGGGGGATCCTGTCCGTTTACACCAAATCTTCATGAATCTCTTGAGCAACAGCTATAAGTTCACACCAAAGGGATCCATTACCGTCCGAGCCAAGGTCTCACGGGAGGGCAAGAATCGTGTGCGCCTGGAGTGTGCGGTGTCTGATACTGGAATTGGTATTCCTGAGGAGCAAAAGTCGCGTCTTTTCAAGCCCTTTTCGCAGGCCGACAGTTCCACGGCAAGGTCGTACGGTGGTAGTGGACTAGGACTTAGCATATGCAAGGCCATTATCGAGGATGTCCTCGGCGGAGCGATCTGGCTGGATTCGACTCCTGGTGTTGGCACTACAGTGACCTTCCACCTGTCATTCAACAAAGCGAAGGATTCTGTGACAAAAGCGCCGTGGTCAAACGGCTCTGCCGATGGGGAGAACCAGGTGGCACCCCGACCGATGGCGCGTGATTTAACCATGATCCCTCGCGATCAGATCCGTGTTTGTATTGCTGAAGACAATCCCATCAACCAAAAAATCGCCGTGAAATTTGTTACCGGCCTTAACTTGCAATGCGAAGCGTACAGCGATGGGCGCCAGGCAGTTGAAGCTCTGCGGGCACGCTCTCAGGAGGGCAATCCGTTCCACGTGGTGCTGATGGACGTGCAGATGCCTACTCTGGATGGCTACAATGCGACTCGTGAAATCCGCAAGGACCCAGATCCCAACGTGAACGAGGTTCTCGTGATCGCTATGACTGCCAGTGCCATCGAAGGGGATCGCGAGAAGTGCCTTGAGGCCGGAATGAACAATTACTTACCGAAGCCGGTCCGCTCTACGGTTCTTAGTGAGATGCTTGACAACTATCTCGCGCCTGCGCCAACGTACACCAAGACCCGCCTGGCAATGCGTGCGAGGGGGAGCATTAGCGCCGAAGTCGGCACTCCAAGTAGTACGTCGTCATTCGGTTCGGAGCCGGTGATTGCACTGACCCCTGAGGACGAGAAGATCCCGGGCAGGTCCAGTCGGGCGTGACCTAGTCCAGAATCTCCTTCAGGTTCCATCGTACCAGTTTCTTTCGAGTGAATCTTGGTATGTCTGGGTGAAATGCCTCTTTTTCGGTTCGGGGTATGACTATCATCTGCAATGTGCTTGACCGTGTTTCATGGGAGTTTCGATTCGTTAGACCAGCGCTTGCCTACCGGTACATGGAGAGCACCATGGCTGCATTTCCTACTTTTTACCCTTATTTTCCTTTTTATCTATTCCATGTGATGATCACGAACGCTACGACTCACGATATTTGCGTTATGGATTGGGATTTCCCTGCCAGGCGGGCGACTATCAGAATTATCTGGCCACCATTCTTGCTTGCATTCTTCCGCCATCCTCTTCGATGCAGCATTTTGTGATGCCTATGGCTCCTGTGTCCGAAAAGAGTCTGAGCCATTCTCAATTGCTGCATCATCACCCTTTTCTTTTCTTCAATTTCGTGTTCGGGGTGCCTTTATTTCTTCGCGTTGGCGCTCAATATTCCCCGAGATTTGAATTCTGAAAACGGATACACGGCTGTCAATAGGTGTTATTGTTTTTAGGTCTTCAGTTCCCATTCAGGCAGCGTTGTTCCAATTTCCGGTTTCTCGTTCCATGCTTTTGTACCAGGATATAATAGAGCGTAAGGAAGTATTACTCCTATTGGAAGGCTTGCCTGTGAAACTTTTTATTCAAGACTATGTACAATGAAGGCAAGATATTAGACAAAACTGTGGGGCATTTCTACCCTACAAAGCAGGACCGCTCAGCATGGAGTCGATGCGATTACAGCTTAGGCGCGGTTGGCTCTACGGCCGAAGATACGGAATCGCTTGACACCACCATCGGGGATCAGGGTCAACTTGACGTGTGTGAAGGTGCGGGTGTCCTCGCCACCAGCAGCGAGTTCAGCACCCTCGTACACGTGCTCAGTATCGGCCTTGCAGAACTTGTCGCCGCTAAGCAGGGGGATCCAATCCGGATGATCATGCGCAGGCACCTCGCCGGCCGCCACGCTGCCCTCGAGCAGACCGTGCACCTGCACGGCGCGGGGGAAGTTACCGCGGAAATCCTTGGTGTCGACGACGATCTTGGCGACCGAGCCGGGGAGACCCAGCTGGAAGATGGCCCAGTCAGTGTAGCCTGGGATGCGCGACCGCGCGGTCTCCCAGCCATCGCCCATGTCCTTGCCCCGGCCGGGAAGTATCAGGTTGGAGATGGGCGTGTAGTGCTGGTTGGATGCTGACAGGGCCAGACCGCCCAGCAGCGCGGAGGAGAGTTCCTCGATGGGGGCTTCTGCGGAGTTGGCGTGCGCGGGAGCCGGGGGAGGGATCGCGTGGCCGTAGAGACGGAGACGGGCGAATCCGCCGTCGGGGTACATCAGCAGGCGGACATGGGTGTAGGGCTTGGGGTTGGAGGGGTCATAGTCGTTGAGTTTCCAGGCGCGACGCTGCGACGGTCCGCAGGGCTGAGGGGGTAGAATGGTGGTCCAGCCGTTGAAGCTGGGGTCGGCGATCTGCTCGTTTGTGATGCCGCTGTCGGCGGGGGCGTAGGTCCCCTGCAGCTCGGCCTTCTCGCCATAGTTGCCATGGAAGAAACCTGTGTCCACTTCGACGCCTTGGATGGCGCCGCTGGCGACACCCAGCTTGATCACGACCCAGTCGTAGGGTTCAGGGTTGTGCCGGCGAGTCTCCCAGCCATCGTACCAGGCGCCGGTGTGCACGAAGACACCGGGACGGTTGATGGGAGGAGTCGGGGTGAGCAGATTCGAGGCTGCGGCGAAGAACTCGTCGGAGCAGGCGAGGATTTCGGTATTGAGACCCGACGAGGCCAGGTTCGTGGTGTGCGCGAAGACCTTGTCGATCTCCTCGGCGGGGACATAGGTGACCTTATCGGAGGACGTCATAGTGCTGGTGATGAGATAGCTGGGTCGAGGTTCTCGCTGGTATTGCTGGACTGAAGTAGATCAATTGAGTGCGCGATTGAACTCTGCAATTCACTTTTTTCTTGTAACTAACTCCAGTCTGGTCTGATCATCCTCTTCTTATCGCAGCTGGAGACGCTCTTTAAATAAGTGTGGCAGAGGATGAGGGGGAAAAAGAAGTTGCCCGATAACTGGCGATAAGCCCCGCAGGCCACCTATACACCGTGTTTGCCTCAGGTAATCATTACTCGATCCCATCGAGTGATTTTCTTCTTCTTCCTTCTTCTCCTGTCTCGCAGTTCTCTAGTCTCATCTCCTCAGACACCCAAATCACCTCGCTTGAGTCTCTGCTGTCCTATTCTATCCGCTTAGCCACCTGAAGGCGCCATTTCCCGTTACCGATCGCAATCACCTGCACTTCTGTCGCTATTCCCAACGTTCCCGCTCATCCCCAATCGAGTTATACTGGTTCGTGCCCCACTGCCCCGGAATTGTACCCTTCGGAGGTCTCCGATGATCGCAGCATTCCGCGGGAACTCGAATCGTCACTTCACGGATTGCATAATTGGTTTGGTGGTCAACATGGGAAGATCCGAGACGCCATGAGTCACCATTTGCTGTCCATTCGAAGAACCCCGGAGCATGGTGACAGCGCTCAAAAATCCAAGACTTTTGCCGCATGCTCGGGAAAAATGCCACAGATCATGGCGAGTTTCACAGAAAGCGTTGCGGAGCTTGTGCTTCCACGGTGACACTTTCAGATAGCTTGAGTTGAGGCTCCCTCGCGCACAGAGGTGACTTGAGCGTGCAACTGCGCTGTGCATGTTACTGTTGCAGAAGTGGAAGCTGTTACAATGGCACATGTGCGACGTCTACGCATGGACTTGGGTAATTTGCTGTAGAGCTAGGGACAACGATGTTCGAATTGCCACCGATCTCTCGAGCCCTCAAAGTTGCCCGACTCTTCCGAGCGATTAGAAGCAAGTGGGAGAGATCACTGCCAATGAAGTGTCATATTGTCTTTCTAAGCTGAACAGGTAGGACGCCAAACGAGCTATGCGCAATGCTCCAATTCTAGAATGAACGCCGGTAATGCATGGTCACACTCCCATAACCCCCTGTGGTAATGCTTGATGCATGCCATTTTGACCAGCAGGGACCCTCGGCTTCCATATCACCTCTCCGTGACATCTCAACCTCCTGTCGTCTTGGTCGCCAGTTCCTCAAGTCGCTTGTATCGCCATTCATATTGTGCCAACTGCTTCTTCTCCGCCGGCGACAGACATTTCCCTTTGTCCGCCATCTCCTTCTCCACTTGTTTGAGCATCTCCCAGCGCTTGAGAATCCGGGACTGATGCTCAGATATGGATGCCAGGTTGGCGTCTTTCGAAGCCATGCGCTCCTCGATGGTGGAGTGGTAGGACAATTTGGCGTGGAACAGTGCCATATCCGACTCGTCGTACTTGAGGCCTCGTGCTTCGGGCAGAGAGCTGGAATGACAGCCTTTGGACGGCATTATGGACACTTGCAATTGTCAGGCCCGTTCAAATGCTCTCGGCGAGATCTGCAAGGTGTATATCGGGTGCTTGTAAGGCTTGTGTTGTTTTGAGATCGACCAGTCTATTCAATGCAAGCTACTGTGCGAAGCGCACTAGTGAGGTAGGGATGAGAAAGATAGTGAGTTGAGAAGAAGCTTGTCTCGGGAAGGGGAGGTGGCGATTTCTTTGACCTCACTGCTGCTCTGCGAGAGTGCCAACCTTTTAATTGTTGAAGGGATTAATATCCCTTCTATGTTTGGGCAGATACAGACGACCTTTATAGATCCGCGGTCGCTCAGGCACGTCTTTCTAGGTGATACCAAGGATGCCACAGAACGCACATTTGCCAATAACGCGGCGCAACAGAACAGCGGAGAAAAGATGGACAGGTTCCATGTCTTGAATCTCCCTTCGTCTCTGCCAAAGGAAGTACCCACTTCGTTTGTCCCGTCATCTTGTGATTATCGTGGAAGCCCAATCCCACCGCTCCATCAGGAAGGCGTTTGTTCCTCATTTGATCGGACTGTGACACCTTGAGGATACCACCTGCGCAATCAGGGGCGGTCTGCAGAATCGTGCTTGCCAAATTGCAGTCTTCTGTCGTCTTCTCTGCGAGACGGAGTATTGAGTCGGTGAAGAAGCTCGCAGTCCTGACGAACGGACCACATCTGCAATGGCGACGGCAAATATAAACATTTCATAGCTACTTCGATGACTGTTGCTTGCATATGTGGTGAGCTGCAAACACATACTAACATTGGTCAGCCGAATAAAGCCAGCCGACTCGGTTGTTAGCCATGCGATCCGGTTGTTACACACAGACCGGGGCTATCTTCCAAGAACAATAATGGAAGTTCTCTTCTCGCCCCTTAACGGTCTAAGTGCTCCCAGAAAGGAGGAGATAGGTCGATCTTAACCGTAGGTGGCCGTGCTATTAGGCGTAGACGGAAACCGAAATCGATCATGATCATGGCTTCCATGATCCCCGTCGCGAGGCAAACGCGCAGGGATATCGACCAGAGTATTCCTTTACGCTGCTTTCAAGGACGTTTGATTCGCTCTCGAGCCCGTTTAGCTTCCCGTTGAGCGTTGCTTAATACCCCGTTCCGGACTTGCTCTGCAGGTAGCCGTTAGATGCGTTGTTGTGTCACATTCGAGTCATGGTCGTATGGACAAGTGGTACTCTTTAGACGCCCTCGTCAATAGGGGATATTAAACGTGCGTTCACGTCGGATCCGATTTCGTGGATATTGGCAGTATCATTTTACAGTAGAACTGCCGCACTCTTTTCGCTTTAGGCGAAACCAGACCAAGACTGACTGAGTTTAACCAGGCACCCTAACAACGCCCAGCAAGTCGAAAAGCGAGTCATTCTGGTTTACTTACAGCGCAAAATCCACGTCCTCAACCGTCAGACGCAATACATACCGATCCGAAGTGCTACAGCAACGGGCTCCTTGCGTATGCTGTGCAATCGAACCTCTAGGTTCAAGCTTCTAGAGAATATATGACATCGTCTACTGCGGTGGCGCTCTTGCCCTTGTAGGGTCGGTATTGGAATATGTCGGTAGATGCGAAGCTATCTTGATGTACGTCGGTGTGGCAGCGGTCATGGATGATGTTTGCTTCCAGATGAGTACGTGGTGTTATTTATAGCACAATGGGTATACCTATCCTTGTCGAGGCGGTCAATTGTTGGGTTTGAAGGTTACCTTGAACATGAAAGTACGTAGTTCACTGGCACAGAGCTGGTTCTATAGCCGATCATCATGTCATGAAACTCATAAAATCAAATGCACGGATCGGGATAGATACAGCCATAACATGTATATCGCATAATGATGTTTAGTGTCGTACCTCCTCATCCCGGATGGCCGCTGCCCTCTCCTTCTTCGCCTTCTGGATGTCCAAAGACATCTTGACGGGCGCCACGCCCGGCGTCTCGAACACGGCGTCAATTTCTTCGAGAGACAGGCCAGATGTCTCTGGGAAGACAAAGTACGACAGAACGAGTTGGATACAGTTGTAGACGATATAGACCACCCAAATCTTGTAACCGAGCTTCTGGATTCCAACACTGATGCCGTATGTTTGCACGGCACCCGCACCGCCCTGGATCAGCCCGTAGAGACCCATTCCCTTGGCACGGAGTGGCAGAGACAGGACCTCAACGGGGTACAGGTTGTGCATGGTGGCAATCAGCATAGCGGAGAAGGTCTGGTAGAGGTAGATCCAAAGGATAGTCAGCGCAGCGGCTGCGGTGTTTCCCGTCACATCAAATTGCCAGGAGGTGATTGTAGCGGCAAACTGGAAGAGGATCATGGTTGCGAGGCCCGTGAAGATCAATGTTCGCCGTCGGAATTTGTCGATGATGAGCGCCCCTACGCCGGTAAACACGAAGTATACGGCTGTGGTGCCAAGCTGGATACCAAGCTGCTGCCTCGAACCCTTGATTCCGATTGTTTCCAGAGCGGGGACCATCTGCAGTAGCACAATGTCAGTTAAGAGGCAAGACCTCGCGGCCACAGTCCAGAGGCCTTAGGGGTGACTTACGTAGTACGTAATGATACCTCCGCCATTCCACTGCTGGAAGATGGAGTACAGGAAGAGAACAAGGAGTCGGAAGCGGGCCATCTTTGTGAAAAAGACCCGGTAATCCCAGAACTGATTGAAGCCCGTCCGGTCATGCTCAAGCGATGCCTCAATCTGCGATACGACGATCTCGACAATGGGCTCATTGATATCGCCGCTGGTCGTGTGATACCTTGCAACCATTTGCTTGGCAGCGTCTCTCCTCCCGCGCATGATGTAGTAACGGGGCGATTCGGGGGTGAGGAGGTAAATGGTAGCACAGACTATCGCGGGAAAGACTGCTTCCAGAAGGAGTGGGAGTCGCCAGCTCCAGTTCCCTTCTATCTTGGTTAGTCCAATCATGGCCCCGTTCATGCCCAGACTGCCTATCTGGAAACATGCACCAAAAATGCCGACGATTAAGCCACGGAGGTGGGTGGGGGCGACCTCGCCCACATATTGAGAGCTGGACAAGAGCGCAGATCCGAATCCCAGGAGGAACCGGGCCGCCATGAACATTGAGAGGTTCACAGCGCAGCCCTGGAGAACCGCGCCCACAATCACAATGAAGTTGCCGAGAAAGTTGATTCCCCGTCGACCGATTATGTCCGCCAACGACAAGAACGGGGCACCACAGACGATGCCAATATTCATCAAGGCATTGAGCAAGCCGTATGTGCCTCCGCTAGTTCCAAATCCAAAATAGGTGTGCCATGCTGGCAAGGCATTGATGCCACTGATAACGGCCCAGTCAATACCATAGCCAGCTTGGTTGCATCCCTGGACGAAGATGATCAAGAATAAGCGGAAACCAGTCCAAGACCGAAGATCTAACGCTTCCCGGGAGATCCTAAAAACGTCCTCCTCTGTCAGGTTGGCAAGCACGACTTCTTCAATGTGCGCTTCATCCTTCTTCACCTCCAGTTCGCTCTCATGTGTGGCCGTGACATCGATCGGGTTACGCATTATGGAGGGCTCAAGCACTCACTAGACCAAAGGCCTTGTGAGACAAACGAAACTCCCTTGAAATGGATGTCTAAACAGCAAGAGAAGAAGAATAAGGCACTGACGAGGATAAGACCTCCGTGACTGGCCTACTGGGGTCACACCACTATATGAGATAGTGGTTGATCAGTTGATCATGTCGGTCGGACGCTGCTTGTGCGACAAACACATGTCGAACCGCCACCCTATTAGGCCCTTGCTCCTCTTTCGACACGGGGTTGGTATGGTCGAAAGAAGAGTGGTTCGAATGGCACCAGTAGATAGTCCTTGGATAAAGCTCGTGTATTTAGCCGCAGAGTGTCAATAACATGGCTGAGATAGGCCCGTTTCTAGATTTTTAGAATGCCTATCATGACCTGTTTGCGAGATTGGCCATGATCGTTTTCTTATTGTGGCTGGTAATTTTCCGCCATTGAGGTGCCTCCCTTACCTCGATGGAGAGCTAATCGACAACACGAGACGAATTTGATCGCGTCTCTAGCAGTCTAGATGGCTAGTGATGTACTCCTTCGAAGCTAAAAAGGCATTTTTTAGCTCAGGTTAGCTGAAACAGGGGCTTGGGCTGTCAACCATGATCCGGGGGAATTCTAACCTGGGGTACTCCGTAGAAACCGTAGAACAACGGTCTTGAAGGGATGAAGGAGACCATGGCCGTCTTGTGTACAGTGTATATCTTCTCGGAGCAGGTATATGGAATCTAGTCGCTGAACTCGTCGAGAAGATAGCAAAGACCGTCGATAACAAGACGGGGGACTTGGTCGGATGGTGGAGGACTGAGGCACATGACCTGTTCCTGTTGCATCGTCTGTTGCGAAGTTGGGCTTCTTTTTCTCTCAATCCTGCTTTGTTGACATTGACAGTTCCCCGCTCGGATTCACAACTGTTCGGGTTAGCATAATGTTTTCTTATTCGTTTCCTTCAACGGACAATTCTCCGCATTTCACTAAAACCTTTAGCGTCGATAGCTCTAGCCATGGTTATCTGATCTTTCCACCAAACAGACACGGTTCGCGGCCCGACGCAACCGACATGGGTCTGTCACCGGGATAAATACACGGTCACGATCAAGGCCAAAACTAGTTGATTAAACAAGATGACTGGCCGTTTGGTTGGATATTACACGCCATGATGTCGGAACTCTGGTACCAGCAGCCTGCTGGCAACTGGGAGGAAGCGTTGCCAGTTGGCAATGGCCGTCTGGGCGCCATGGTCTATGGGCGAACTGATACGGAGATGCTACAGCTCAATGAGGACTCGGTTTGGTATGGAGGTCCCCAGAATCGTGTTCCTCGTGATGCATTCGAGTGTCTCCCACGTCTCCGGTCTCTGATCCGAGAGGGAAACCACGCAGAGGCAGAGAAGCTGGTTCGTCTGGCCTTCTTCTCTCATCCCATTAGTCAAC